TCAAGTCAAACTCTTGATGGCTTTTATTTTACTGATTGATCCAATAAGAACCTTTTCAAGAGCAGCCGTACACAGGCCTATAATCATGCTTGTACTTCTAACTCATGGTGGCAACAGGCTTTTTCTCAAACCCTGTACTGCTGTCAACTATGTGTGATTTATGAATTATGGCTTTTACATTTCCTCTTCTGTTGCATATTTCTATACCTTATGCTGTGTGAGCTTGAGGTCTCAACAAAAGAAAAAGGTAAATGTAAGATCTGAGTGTTTTTCGACCAGTTGCCAACAGTAGACGGAACCACTGCCGCCAGGTAGACCCCCCCCCCCCCCCCCCACCCACCCACCCACCCAGGCCACTGTTTTGGAGCTCGGAAAAGATTGATGACTCTGGGTTTGATTGAAAAGTCTGCCTCGGGTTAGAGCCGGTTGTCTCGGTGAAACGCTGTGGCCAGTGATTGATTGGCCACTGGGCGAGTTTGGCTCCGCAGAGCACAGAGTCGTTGAAAATCAAAAGAGGGCACGGCAGAAGTCTGTGATTTCATTAAAAGGCAGATGTGTGGACTGACAGATGGCTGTGGACTGTGGATGAGTGCATGACTCGCTCGCTAGTATATCTCACTGTCAAAACGCATCATTTGTCAGCGCATAAAGACCATTATCTTTATATTGAGCTCATTTATTCCCTGCTCTTTTCCGCTTTGACTGCAGCCAGTATCCACTGCAAAAGAATCACAGATTCCTAATTGAAGTCACTGGCACTAATTGACCTGATCTCTAATTAAGGGTTTATTTCTGTGTAATGAGTCCGGCCATCTTGACCACATAAAGCCAACAATCAAGAGTTCTTCCACAGCAAGCTGCTCATTATATCACAATCATGGAGAAATGATTCTCAACGACCACACGATGAGAAGATGAGGTGCGTCTTTAGTGGGTTCCGAACTGTGTTGGTGACAAAACAAATCAGTGTTAGGTGTTGCAACTTTTCCTGTGAATTTGAGATTGACTCTTTGCAGCCACTGTGATCTCGGAAGTGAAGCTTGGACAAGCAGGCATAATCAGAATAAACACTGAAATTAAAAATGACAAATACAACTTCACAAAAACTGTGGGCCGTCAAAGGCTCATTTAAATGTCATTCAAACAGTAATTGTGTCCGCTTGCTTTGTATCCTACCGACAGCCAATGAAAGAACGCAAAGAGGCGACTACAACACGCAGAAACACCGCTGTGCTTAAATACCAGAAACCTATTGTGCACGCCGTTGTTCCCCTTTCTTTTAATGCGGTTCCCCCTGAGTGGCAGAACATGTGCGAGTGCTGACACTGAACATGTTCCCCCTCAGACAACAGAACCCCAGGAACCCAACAACAGTGACAACACACAGCCCCGGCCTACACCGCTGTGAAGTTTCAATTACTGGTGGACTTGGTGGCTGGCTACTGCCAGTCAGCCTGACAGGGAGAGGAGTGACTAGTGGAGGAAAAGCCTGAAGGACAAGCACTCCCACCAGGGTGGTGGGAACCATCAGGGGCCCCGGCTATGATGGACTAGACACCCCTGCGTATGATATTAAAAAAACACTACATTACATTAAATGGCAAGTTTTAGATGCCTTAAACAGTTTGCTACAGGAGAAGATGTTATGAGAAGAAAGTACTACCCCCCTCTCCTGTGGTCCAATAATGGCTAAAACACTATTCTTTATAGCTTCCTAAAATATGCCGAAATGAAAGCTTTACCATATATTTTATCTTATTTTAGAACTAAAAAAGGCAAGAGTCAGAAGCGGCACACAATAACAATCAGAATGTAAAAATCAATGATATCTAAACGCTCCCCTAACCCCGGTCTAACCCCACGTCTCGGGGCAATTCTCCCGATTGGGTGTCGCTGTAATTGGTGCAGCTATGGTTGCGCAGGTTATGGTCATTACAGGAGAGCGTGGGGAGGCATAACCGCTCACAGCACCGCTCTCATTGTGTGTGAAGTAGAGGGGGGGGGGGGGGGGGGGGGGGGGG